AGTAATAACCAATGTTTTTTACACCAACTTTAGGCACTGCAGACATTACTAAAATAGATTTTTTGATTACTATAGTCTTTATCAAAATACACTTACTTTGTTAACATTATGTTGTGAGAGTACATTACTCGACTTAGTATAAAAATAAGGAATAAATGTATTTTGAAAATTTCATTAATTATATGAGTTAAAAATATATTTATGAAAGATACTAATCCAAAGTGAATACTCAAATGTGATATTTGATATTTATTTCCTCTTATTACATTATTTCTATTATATGTCTGACTTTCAGGCAGATAATTTAAAAAAATTCAGTTTAAATATTTTTGGCATCTTAAAATAAAACTTCATTAAAGTTTACTGAAACAAGTTTACAATTGCTTAAATAATACATATTGTGTTTTAACTGTAAGTAATGTGTTCAAGTGTAAGTTCATTTGCTTGACACATAACATTGTCTTACCTTTTCATACTGCAAGCAAACTTCTGAAAATAAATATCCAAGCTAAGAAGAGATACCATTTTCCTTGAAGTATTATTTGTATTTCCCCTTGAGAGGTTTAATTAGGCTAAAATGTATGGTGTTATGAAATTTTTCAGAAACACTTCAGTTAAATTTTGGGTTTAAGGAATAAATTCAACAGAAATTCCTCTTTAAATTATTGTGAAAAATACTTTCCTTAAATTCTAAATAATATTTATTTATTATCCTGATAAGATGCAAAGATATACATTTTGAATGTTATATGCAATTCATATTAATTCATTTTTAAGGTTATATTTGGAAACTTTCTAATATTAGTACTCTAAAGCAAAACAATCTATTTCAAAATAATTTTTTCTTTCATGTTCTTAAAGGCAAATAACTATTTTAGGTATTAGTTATTCATATTTTGTCTCATTTATTTATTTTCTTCTCATGTGTTTTAATTCTTATTGGGAAAGGGCCTAGCAAAGCAACTTGAATAGTCTAATGTTATAAAGCTGAAAAGAGAGTAGAAAAATGTTATAATTGCTTTTAGGTTAGCAATTATTAATGCCATTTATTTTTAGGATTAAATTTATAAAATTCTTTTATATGAATACTGATGTTATATTTCATTGAGAATTGACTATGTGTCAAGCACTCCGGTAAGTAGTTTACCCAGAATATTTTACTTAGCCCTCAAATGACCCTACACATCATTAGGTACTGCTATGATTCCTATTTTATGAAAGCAAGACTGAACTTTAGATAATAGGAAATCACATAACTATTACAGCAAAGCTAGTAAGTGGTACAGCCACTATAGCATATTATCCCTGTCTCTCTCCCCCTCTCTTTCTCTGTCTCCATCTATCTACTGATTTTCTGTCTGTTTGATCTGTTTATTACTGATAAAAGAAACTTTGAAGACTCCAACTGTAACAAATTTGTCTATTTCTCCTTTTAGTTCTGTCAATTATACTTAAGAATTTTTCGTGGTTTCCCTAGAGTTTACAATATACTTTTTAAATTAACATAAGTCCACCTTTAAATAACACTATATTGCCTCATGTGTCTACCTTATACCAGAGTGTTACCAATTCTACCATTCCACTCTTTGTGATATTTTTCTCATGTGCTTCACTTATCTATTGACTATAGTCATACAATTCATCATTACTACTATTACTTTAAGCAAATGGCAATATTTTAGGTCAATAAAGAATATGAAAAATAAGAGATTTTATTTTTCATTTATTCCTTATCCAATACTCTTCCTTTCTTTATGAGAATTCAAATTTCAGACCTATATTATTTTCTTCTCCCTCAGGAACTTCTTTGAACGTTGCTTGCGAGGCACATCTGCTGGTGATAAATACCTCAATTTTTGTTTTCAAAAAATATTTATTTTTTCTTTCATTTTAAAAGACAACTTGACTGCTTATTGAATTCTAGATTTTTTTTTCAATATTTTAAGTACTTCATATTATTCTCTTCTTACTTGCCTGGTTTCAGATGAGGGGCCTATAGAGGAACAGTATAAGGTGCCTTTGTAGGAACAGTGTAACAATTACAGAAGAGTTCTCATCTGAAACTCATCTCATCGCCCCACTGCAAACTGAGTTCTGTCAAGATTTTTCCTCTTCTCTGGTTTTATACAATTTGAATATGATATGGCTAGGTTCGGTATTTATCTTGTTTTGTGTTCTGAGTTCTGTGGATTTGTGTTTAATGTCTGTCATTAATTTTTGAAAATTCTTGACCATTGTTACTATAAGAATTCAAGTATTTTCTCTACTCCTTTCTCTTTTACTCTTCTCCTCTGATATTTAAATTATATGTATTTTATAACTTTTTATACAGTTCCACATTTCTTTGTTTTGTTTGTTTGTTTTGTTTTTCTTGAGACAGGATCTCACTTTGTCACCCAGGCTGGAGTACAGTGGTACAATCATAGCTTACTGCAGCCTTGAACTCTTGAGCTCAAGAGGTCCTCCCTCCTCAGCCTCAAGAGTAGCTAAGACAACAGGCATGCACCACCATGCTGAGCTAATTTATTTTTTATTTATTTATATTTTTTGTAGAGACGTGGTCTTGCTATGTTGTCTAGGCTGTTATTGAACTTCTGGCCTCAAGTGATTCTCCTGTCTCAGACTCTCAAAATGCTGGGATTACAGGCATGAACAATTGTGTCCCACCTCACATTTCTTGTATGTTCTGTTTTGTTTTGTTCATTCTTTTTTCCCTTTGCATTTTATAATCTTCAGTTTATATATCTGTGTTTTAGTGAGTCTGTGTATCTGGGCTGTGACCTTCTAAGTATTCTTCCAATGGTACCATTTTCTTTTCCCTTGTTCCTACTTGCTTCCCTATGTGTATTATTTTCAATGTATACCTTTCAAGCCCTGACCCCTGTTAATACCGCCACACCCCACCCCCAACCTCCCTGTAACTTAGATGAAATAGGAGGGCTAGAAGAAGAAGTGGTGAGAGGAATAAGGCTCTGGCAAAGTATTTTTTCTATAGAGTTAGACTTTGATATGGAGAAGGTTCTGGACATGTTTCACAGTGGTTTCTCTTCCCCCGCCATTGCCTGCCCCTCTCCCTCCCAACCTCCACCACCCAACAGAACCAGCCCAGAAACCTTCTTTTGATCTTCACAGTGAGAACTCAAGTTTGTAGGTCTCTCAAGACTGTAGCTCCCAGAAGTTTTTCCACTCTACATTCAGTGTCTAGCAATTTGTAAAAATTACAATGAAAGTATTTTACCAATGTATGATCCCAGCTTCTGTTCCATGTACATAGATCTTGGTTGTGTCTCTTTAGACTTACCTGTCCTTCCAGATTTTAGTGTGAATGTTTTCCCTGCAACCTCAACTTACTATTTTATCCAAGTAATCGATTTTCAGCTTATCTGGGTTTCTTCTTCCTTCTTCCTTCGTCCTTCTTTCTTCTTTCTTCTTCTTTTTTTTTTAAGACGTCAGTTACAACTTGCATTCTCCTTCTATATCGGAGATGAAAGTGAAAATCCAAGTGCAATCAAAGACTCGGATAAAATACATTAATTTAGAATCTTGCACCACAGTTATAGAATGTCACTGGTGGGCTTAAAAAGTCAAATCTTATGCAAATCAAAGACTTTTTTGCTATAATCTTATTTCTTCTCATTTTACCGTCTTTACTGTATGTTGGATCATCTGGCATAAAATCAACTGCTTGTAGCTTTTGTGTTTCCTTGGTCTATAGAAATACATATATATCTTCCCATTAATGCCAATTAGGAGTTGGTGCAAAAGTTATTGCGGTTTTTGCATTGTTGAAATTTGCTGTTTGATATTGGAATACCCTCTTAAATAAATGTGGTTATGTTATACTGTTACTGGTGGAGGGTGTCCGGGTTCTTGGCATCTTAAAGAATTGGACAAAATGCACAAACAAAGCAAAAAAAGAATGAAGCAACAAAAACAGAAAGTTATTGAAAATGATAATACACTCCACACTGTGGGGGCAGGTCCAACCATATGGGTTCAAGGGCTACATTACACAAATACCCTCTAGAGGATTTCACTGGTTACTAGAGGATTTCACTGGTTACACCCTATGTAAATGAAGAGGATGAAGTAAAGTTACAAAGTCATTTACTCAGTGTATGCCCTACGGAGAGGATATTTCCTGTCATAGCTAAAGTGTGAATCTACCTTGCATTCCCTGTCTCCAGACCATATTTTCCTACCTCATTTCCCCCTGAGAGATGTAATCCCTATAAATCTTTTCAGGAGGCAGTGGGACCGATGGCCTTTCTTCTGTAACTGCTTCATGCTGGCTAACCTATTGGGTATCACAGAATTCTCACCCTGCTCTGTTTAGTGGAGGCAGGGTAGCTTCTTGAAGGCCAGGGTTGTGTTTTCACTTGGAACTAGCTGGAACCTTTGTTGCATGATCATCTGAAGCTTGATGGTCTCCAGGTGAAAGGAAATGAATTTGGTTAAAAGATTTAATGGAAACTTCAAGGAATGCATACCTATTGTTATAAAGTTTTGGTTTCACAAAAGAAATCGCACTTGAATATGAAATTTTCTTTTTAATTCTCAGCAAAGCAATGTACTTCTATAGAAGGGTGTGCCCTTACAGCTGGAGCAATGGTGAGCGCACACTTGGACAAAGGAGGGGAAGGGGTTCTTATTCCTGAGGCACCTGGCCCCTGCTGCTGTGTTGTTCCCCTATTGGCTAGGGTTAGACTGCACAGGCTAAACTAATTCCAATTGGCTAATTTGAAGAGCAGGACAGGATGAGTGGTTTGGCGGGAGTCAGGGTGAGCAGATAAGGGTGGAGCAGGTGATCAGAATGAGTCAGGGCGGAGCCAGTAATTGGAATGAGTCAGCGTAGAGCAGGTGATCAAAAAAGTTTGCTTTGCGAGGAAGTTAAGTTTAAAAGTAGGAGGCAAAGAATTGAACATACTACATGTTGATTCTTTGTAGAGAAATTTAGAACTCATATCTGATAATTCTCTCCTCTTGCATTTTCCTTACAGCTCTTTCTCTTCAAACTTCTTTAACATGTCCTGGCTTAGCTGTTCTCCTTGATTTTCCAAAAGAAGAATCTTCTCTAGGTAAGGTGGAGGATAGTTAGGGGAGGTTTTAATAAGTGCCATTTCTATGAGCCTCTGCACCAACCCATGGTTGCATGGTATGACACAGTACCTGACAAGAATAATTACATCCATTACAGCTGTGAGGGTGGTAAGCATTGAGGCTATTACACTTTTCCATTTACCGAACCACTTTTCTAGCCATCCTGTAAAGGGGTCATTTACCCGTGAGTTGTTGGATAACTCATTGGACAGAGCAGTCAGACCTTACAATACGTTTGTTATACTTCCATCAGGGGCAGTGTTGTTTGGGATGAAGGTACAACATTGAGTTTTAATCATGACACAAACGCCTCCTCTTTCTGCTAATATCATGTCTAAGGCTATCCTATTTTCCAAAGCCATCTGGCTGGCAGCCCCTAATTGCTCAGCTATTCCTTTAACAGCATCGATACATCTACCACAACCAAAAGCAATTTATTAACTACACAAAGCATCTCGAGTATAGTTAATAAATTACTGTTGGTTGTAGTAGATGTAGTTTATCCAATTTACATTTTTATTCATTGTCACCCACCAAAATATTGACTCAAATTCTGCAGCTATTTGATTTCGGGCTTTAAATTGATCTGGTATTACCCATGGGACTCCAATTCCATTTAAATAGATGTGAGAGTCAAAAGACCCATAAGGGGCTTCTCTTGCTTTACAATGTCTTATTTTCCTTCCCCTGGTTGATGAAATGCCAGGTTGAAAGGGATAGCCAACTGGACTAAAGCACAAGTGCCACTCTAGTAATTCAGCAGAGTGTCCAGTAAAGGTCCACCACAATACCACCACACATCTGCTCAGGGATGAACAAGGGCTGACTGATTGATAAGCGCTTGAGAATTCTTAAGCTCAGTGCATCCCTTCATGTTTCCAAGGAACAGTAAGTTTCCTCCTGGTTGTGAGAGACACGAAGTGAACTTAGTGTTGGGAGATGGAAGCTGGATGGCCCTCTGGGGCTGACCCACAAGGTGCCAGACTTCGGGATATAGCAGAGAGAGAGCTTGGCACAACTTGTTACTCCAGGCTGTAGAATCCTGGAAAAGAACTACCATGCAGCCCACGCCCAGTTGACTGGAGGACCACCCTAGTGGAGAAGGGACAATCTGGGCCTCTGGCCTGCCATGAGCACAAGCATAACAATTCCTTTTGTTTAACGTGTAGATGGAATATTTGATCCATTCCAACCAGGCATTTGCATCTTGGTATCCTGTCTTAATTGCCAAAGTTTGTTTTAAGTCTTTCACTTCTATGATAGCTATCTTGGTCTTAACATTGGATGGAGGAGGAGCAATTGTTCCGTTGTGAGAAGTTTTGGAAGAATGCTTAGAGGAAGGTGCAGGCAGCGGGGGATCAAATAAACACATTTCAAAGCATCCAATAGTGTCTGTCCCTGAAACCTCAGCCCCTATACCATAAAACCGGCTTAAAGAAGGGAAGTGGCCTAGAAAAGGGGAAGAACTTTGAGGTTTTGTGATAATAACCTGTGTAGGATTGTACTGGTTTAGCTGAGAGTTGTGGGGGAGGGGCTGTCTTTCTGGTAAAATGAATGTATGGTTTTAGGAAATTACAAAAACTGGTTGGGGCAGTCCATTCTTGCTCTTTAGTGGTCCACAGAAGGTTTGACCAACTACGGCATAAAAGCTCTACATCAAGGCAGCAAGATTCCTGGTTGACACTGGGATCTTTATCGAAATCTTCCTGGATTAAATGGTCCCAATTCACTAATGCCCAGTCTGAGGAGAGTCGGGGGTACAGAGGTACTTTTATTAAGTAGAGAGCTGTCTTTGACTTGGCAAGTCCCCACAGGGTATAACAAGGCAAGTATCAAATGCAATAGTTTGAGGCAAAATTGACTTGGTTATGTTAATAACTAGATGGTCAGCAATAGAGCAAGGAAAGAAGAAAGAGTAATAGAATAGATGAAAGAGAGTTAAATTTTTCTTAGCTTTAGTTTGGTAGGGTTTTCCCCTGGAACTATGGCCCATGACTCTGAAAGGGGCGGCACTTTCTTGACTTGGCTGTGATGAGTCCACTTTCCACTCATTTTCACTTTGTACATCCCCTTTCCACTGTACAAACAGCAGTCTCGGTGGTTAGCAGCCCAAGGTAGGGTCCTTCCCAGGCTGGCTCAAATTTTCCTTCTTTCTACCTTCTGATGAGAACATGATCTTCAGACTGGTGCTGGTTTATCGGAAATTCTAGGGTTAGTACCTGTGCCAAAAGACTTCTAATTTTGAGGGAAAGGAAAGTGGAAGATAAACCAAGTATATAATTTCTAAGAAACTGATCTTTTTTTTAAAATGTGGGGACATCAGCAGTGGACTTTCTAGTCCGTGTGCCTTTTTACTGAGAAATTTTCTTTAGCATCTATTTTCATTAGCTTTTATACCAAAGAAAGCCAAAGACCATTTTATATTTGACAATGCTTCCTGTATGATTTTTATACCAAATAAGCTAAATTTCACTTTATATTAGTGTGTTACTAATGTTAAACTCAATTTTAATAAAACCTTGTAGACATATTTATCCAATTTTAATGTCTAACCGTAAGGTAAGATTTTTATAGACTCTTTTTAACTTTTTATGATTTTTGTTAAAGAGCAGGTTAGTGCTTCAAGAAAAACCTGTTTTGCTTTTATTTTGATGTCCAGTTCACAGAAAGACTGGATGACACCCCTTTAACTGTAGCCAATGGGTTTACACACAGAATTTCATTTACAATTAACATTTTAAAGCTTGCTTAAGCCTTTAAAACAAATTTTTTTAACCTTTTAATTGTAGGTAAAAATCCACATTCTTATGCCTCCTTAAAATCCTTTTTCCAAAAGTATATTTTACTTTTCTTCCACACCTTGCACATAAACTGTTTCTTCAATAGTTTTACCATCAGGAGGCCTAATTACTTTTAAATTATACAACATTTCTTGCATAAATCCCCTTTATCACTTTTTCATGACTTTAACAATCTTTGACATGCCTCAACCTTCTGACTTGTTGCAAACATCCCTTTCTTTAAACAACCAGTTAATTTATTTTAGGGCAAGAATTTACCATATAATAATCTTTTTATATAAATTATTCCCCTCCCCCCACTTTTTTTCCCCATTCTTCTCCAAAGAGAACTTCCTTCATGTCTGTGGACTAGACTGCCTAAGGTCACAAGATTAGAAGTTAGGATAATACATGTTACACTGTTAACTTTTAGCAAACTTTACTTTTGTTGAAAACCTTGTAAGTCTGGGATTTCAATTTTTCTTTGCTATTTATAAGACCTCATTTAGTCCAAATTAACTTAGAAATGGTATAGATGGTTCCTTCCTGGTTCTGTAAGTACTTTAAGGCTTGGCTGAATGCAAACAGCTCACATGTTTGAGCAGAACAATTATTAGGCAATTTTCCTAACTCTGCTTCTACAAGAATTTCCCTATCAATTACTGCATACCCATTGTACCTTTTTACCTCAGTCACCCAGGAGGAACCATCTATCATTCTGTCCTGAAGGGAGTTCCTCCTAGGTCTGGTTGGACCTTTGTATAGTAGTTAATTCAGATTTAGATACACTGGTAGGAAACCTGCTGGGTTAAGGGAATTTTTAGTGGTTAATGTTGAATCATCTTTTTATTTTATTTGTTTATTTATTTATTTATTTATTTATTTATTTATTTATTTATTTTACAGAATAGCCTCATACTTTCTTCTGTTAGCAAAGCAGTTGTTGCTACAGAATGAATGTGTTTGGGCCATCCGCAGGTTACTGGGTTAAGGATTTTTGATTCGGAAGGCTACGGGTTGTCAGTGGCCTCAGTGCTCTCGGGCTATGCCCTTGTTTACACTGACAACAAGGTGGTATTGGAGTGTTATAGGGTTATGGAGAAGACCTTTAATTATCAATTATAGGTTTTAAATTTACCCTGGCTTTTAGAGGAATAGGGTACACTGTTTTCTCTTTACTCCTTCTATGTCTCTCTTTCTCTCTTTCTTTCTCTGTTTGATTTTCTGTCTCTCTCTTCCTCTGTCTCTCTTTGACTCCCTCTTTGTCTCTGTGTCTTCCTCTCTCTCTCTCTGCCTCTCTCTTTCTCCCTCTTTGACTCTGTCTCTTTCTCTCTCTCTTCCTTTCCTCTCTGCTGATCTTTCCCTGCCTCTACCAGCTGCTTACGCTGCTGTTTTCCCCTCTCTTTCCCCTTCCCCTAGAGGAGGGACCAGCGGGAGTGGAGATACTTTCTTCTCCCAGGAAGAAAGAAAAGGGGGGCTTTGTGTGAGGTTCAACCCCTCAAACTAGGGATGTCTTGCCTTGTCTTCCCTGGAAGGCTTAACCCTTCAAACCAGGGGTGTCTTGTCTTACCTGCCCTGGAAGGCTCAACCTCTCAAACCAGGGGTGTCTTTCTTGTCTTGCCTGTCCTGGAAGTTTGACCTGTTTCCCCCCTTTCCCTCTCTTAAGGTCCTTTGCACACTTCTCACTCATGGAAAGAACACATTCACTTCGTCCAGCAGTAGGACTTGTCACCATCCATGTGAACAACACTGCAAGCAGGGTTGTTTGTGATCATTCGCACACCTCCACACACACATTCAGCCCTCCAGAATTTGGCCACCAAGGAAGTACTTTACTGGCTCCTGTGGCTTCTCCTTTCTTGGTCTGTGCCCAGAGTCGTCGCTGCAGTATGTGAGGATCCTTTACCCTTGGTTGCTGGCCAGTTTCTTTTTGCATTGCTGAGAGCGCGAGTTATGCCTCACACTAGGTAGGTCCTGATTTCTCACCCCTGAGGCCACCATAAGGAGGTGGGGCATGCCTCCTCAAGAGAGAAGCAGAGGCCACCCCCAGAGGGGAAATGTAATCCCGGATGAGCCCCCAAATTCTTATAAATAAAGTTTCGGTGCTGCAAAAGAAATAGCACTCAAATATAAAATTTTCTTTTTAATTCTCAGCAAGGCAATGTACTTCTATAGAAGCGTGCACCCTCACAGGTGGA